GGCCTCCCTGAGGAGAGGTCCCCGCAGAAGGCGGTAGAAGCCTCCGGCCTCGCCCCGTTCGCGGGTCTTGGCGTTACCTCCTGGGGCCCGGCGCGGCCGAGCTTGCATGACCCGCGTCTGCCTGCTGTTGGAGGGGCTGCTGGGCTGCGGTGGGGCCTGGGCCTTCCCCGGGACTCACGGTAAACCGCTTCCCCGGAGTTGTTTCTGCCGAGTCCCTCAGGGACGGCTCGGGTCAGAGCGCAGTTACAGTTGTGTTTCCCAGCACTAAAGCCCCTCGCTTACCTGAAGGGCTCAGCTGTGCTGCTAGCCATGGCAGCTGGGGCCTCCCTCCGTAAGGAGTTATCCGTGTCTGGGAGGGATGTGGTGACGAGCGAGGGTTTGAGAGTGTGGGGAGAAAAGCTGCTGCTCTGGCATCGAAAACAGTGCTGTCATGCGATTAACACAGGATGCTGGAAGCAGCTGTTGTGGGTTTAATCCTGGTTGTGGAATGCAGGCATTTTCTAGATCTTAAAACTGCTTACTGCGAACCACAGTTCTCCTGTGTGTACGTTCATATATATGTAAAAATACGGTACTTAAATATGGACGTGTACTGCAGAGTTTGTGTACAGTTGAGCTCAGCAACGAAAGAAAGCATTGTACTTGCCTCATTGCATGAGATTAAATACTGTAACAACCTCTTTAATGAAAACAAAGCAGACTTTTTTTTTTTTTTTTTCTTTTCTATTAGGTGCAGACATTGCTTCAGCAAATGCAGGACAAATTTCAAACCATGTCTGACCAAATAATTGGAAGAAATATCCTTTTTTTAAAGTTAGATAGATACTATATGCTATAGATGCACAAGTACTTTAATGTATATTTACCAGTGGGATTTGGAAGATTAAATTTAAAGTGACCGTAAGTGTTTGAGCAAAGCTGTAATCAAAAACTCAAAACAACAATAACAAACAAATAATCCTAAAAACCAACCCAAGCACCAGCAGACCGCAGTCATAGTCCTTAACTCCAGTGAACTTGATGACATGAGCTGTCGCATTGATGACCTGGAGAAGAACATAGCAGACCTCATGACACAAGCAGGAGTGGAAGAATTGGAAGGCGAGAACAAGACCCCTGCTACTAACAAGAGTTAAAGTGAGACAATTGCCTGCCAGCATTGAAACAAATCCTCAAGTCACTTGAAATTACTGACTTTAATGTAGATGGAATTTTTCCTTTGATTTGTGAGATAGTCAGAAATTCATTCAGAGCAGCTCTGTACACTCTAATACAAGAAGTTTTAAGAAGCTCTCCTCAGCATGCTCCTAAAAGCCCCTTCAGCAAGGGTTTCCTTCACGAATATTGAGAGGAGAGTTACTTTCTTCATGTCTTGTTAGTTTTGAGGAAGTGCAGTAACTGTACTCATCCTCTGTTACACACTCATGCTGGTACTCTTACTAAGGTCTGAAGTAATGACTCATTGCAGCATGGGAAGGAGAAGAGTTGGGAAAAAAATACCAATGACGCAGCGAGCTGTTCTTTTCCCTTCTTTCATCGTATCTGAGCTTTCTGAAAAGGGCCGTATATAATCTCATGCCTGTTACCAACATCCGCCCTGGTTTCTGTAGCTGGAAAGCTACTGTGAGCGTGGTGCTGCTCTTCCATTTTCCGCTGCATCCTGTGGACTTCAGCTCCCAGGAAGCTCCCAAAGACCGTAGGGTGCTGCTGTGCACAGGGGCTAGTGAGTGAGTTACTGTCCATCAGCTGTGAATTCCTCCCGCGTAAGTTCGGAGCTTGCTGGGAGTACCTGACTCACACGTACCACTGCATGTCCTGACTGACAGTGTGAGACAACACTCAGGCATGAGGCGGGGCGTATTCTAGGGCAACACTCCCTGGAAAAAGAAATTTCTTACTGAAAGAGAAATGTGATGATAATATTATTATGTAATTTCTTAATTGATAACCTGCCCCTGTATTGCACAAAAACATTGGAGAAGCAGATGTTTCATCTGCTTGACACGCAGCAGTTCTAAATCTAGTACGAAACCATGGAAATTCAAGTGATCGGGTAGCACCACACACAGCGTTTACAACAGTTGCTAAAGGCATTTAAGAAGATGGGGCACTGCACGGGTGCCAAAACTGTTATAGTGTAAACGAGGGAAGGTGTGGTGCTTAATTATAATAAGTGAGCACTACCATGTCACTTCAGTTGGTATAGAATTTGATTTTTGTAACCATGGAAGGCAACTGGTAAATAAACTGCTAGATTTATCATGTTAGATTAGCTTTTTTTTTTTTTTTTTGTTACGGTGGCTAAGTAATGTCTCAGCCTGTTGTAGGCTTGAAATTCTGAGGTCACATCTAGAATACTATGCAGCCTGTATAATAGATGTGTGTTTGAAGCAGGTATACATCTTGCATGTTAAGGTACCTATTTTTTGTGATATTTTGACAGAAATACAAATTATTATGATCTTCATTGCCCCTAGTGTCAGTTCCTGTGGCCTGAACCCCACAAATGAAAATTTCTGATGAGCATGATCCTCTTAATTCTTCTAACATATTTTTTTTTAAATTATTTTCCCCCAACAGGTTGCCAGTAACTTAAGATGAATCCTGGAAGACAACTTTTTTTTTCTTTTTTCTACAAATCCTTGGAATTACAGAACAGCTTTTTGCAACTACTGTGTGTAAAAGCATTTTTATATTGTTACAGAGCTTGCATTCCTAATGTATAGTTAGGGATAGGTTAGTTTATATTTTGATTTGTGTACTGTAATTTCACTTTTTGAATTCTTGTTATGAGGATCAATTAGTTGTGTTATTAAAACACAGATCTTATGGATCTCAACTACTGGGTGTATTTTTTTGTGAAGTCACTTTTGTCTCTTTCTTATACTTTTTCTAGACATTTCATTTTTGATAGCTGAATATCTAGTGACTGCCATCAAGTGGAAATCTTAACTTGTCCTACGTAACTTTGTGGAGTGAAGCACAAGATTGAAACTTAGCATTAATCTTAGCTCTAAGCATCAGTCACTCAACTAGTTGAGGACTATTATGTTGTTTTCTCATAAGTGTAGTAAGGTGATTTTGGAAATACAAGACACTGAACATCAAAATCCCATCTCCTGCTCCTGGTATTACCTTACCTGTGTGTTCATAGAACATAAACTAGAAATAGAGATTTAACACTAGAGACATCTGCGCACAGTTGAGCAACCACTGCCATTCAAATCTGTTAGATTTAGACAGACAAGGAACTATTAACTATGAAAAATCTCACTATGGGATTTAAATTTTTTAACCCTGTAAAACTACAATGTGTCATTTAGCATCACCTTTGGACAATAATTATGGTTACAATAGTGACACTGAGCAGAAAAGATGGTATTGTGGGAGCGTTTGTATGTGGTCTTTGTCTTTAAATCACTGGCTCAGTGTACTAAACAGTTTGCTAAGGAAGCGATGAGTCACTGAGTAACAAGGAGAGAACCCAGTCAGAATTGTAAAGCCTTGCTTCTCTTGGAATCACTATTAGCCAGAACTGTTAAAAATATTTGGTTCAGAAAGGTGTTAGCTTTCATAATCATCTCCACATTGATAGGCCTGGGGTTTAATGGATTACATTAGAGTATTTTGGTGATGAAAAGTGTATTTTAAAGAGTCTGTACTATGTCACTTGTGAAGAAAAATGACCAGTGTCGGATATTACTGACAATCACTGCAATGCTCCTCCAGCTTGAGGTACAAATTTAAGAGAGCGCTCGTGGCGGTCAGTAGTTCTCTGTGGACCCCACTTAAGAGTGCTCTTGGAACACCACCAGATTAGCACCTCTGTATTATGACGGCAATATGACAGGTCATTTTTCAAAACTGAGGAGAAATTGTAATAAAAGCTTATAATAATAGGGGAGTTTTGTGAACATAGGAAATGTATCAATATACCTTGTAATATCAGCCTTAGGCTCTTTGTAATGTCATTGAAAAAAAATCTAATAAACTACTATGTGGTAACAAATAGTCAGGTCATATATATTAAAGCAAAATCTAGTGAAAGTATATCGTTATATGTGAGGTTGTATTTAGTTATAAGTTATGGAAAGACTTTAGCACAGCTTTTGCTTATAGACTATAGTCTAAAATACAGGTGTGTTCTGTATAATAAACAGGTGAGCACGATTCATGCCCTGTCAAATCTGGATTTTACTAGGTAATGACAATAAAGACCAAATTCCTAGGAAAGCATACTAAAGTGGAGGCTCATTTTCTGTGATGTTTATACAACTATAAATTCTCATCTGGCTGCCTTCCTCCTGTAGGAGAAATGGGCGTTCTTGAATTTGGCTGTGCTGTCCTGCACACAGCAGCAGTAGGCTTGCTTTCCTGAGGTTCATTTGGTCAGAGTAACTTACTGGAAAATTACTTCAGCTTTTAAGATTCAAAACACTTTTCGGTAGGGATAGTTTTCCCTCATAAATTTAACACTTTAACAGTTCAATTCAAAACACGCCTTTCAGACAGGAAGATAGTGCTTGTAGCTCTTTAAATACTATATATTTTTGAGAAACTTTTTTTATTCTTACTCCAGCCACAGAGTTTCTGCATATAAACAGCACGTGTGGGCCAAAGTAGAATCCCTTTTGGCCACAATTTCCTTAAGTGCAGCTAGTTTAATACACAAAGCAAAATGGAAGATGACTGTTGTGTTATTTTATATGGATTTGATAACACTTTAAAAAAAAAAAATAGTGTCCTCATTTTTTTTCTCAATATGCTGGTTCACATCTGACAAATATTCATCCTTTCCGCTGGGCAGTCTCACTTGCAAAGAAAAAAAAAATAAAGTCTGAGGATCAAGCTCACGAATAGGGACTGTTCCTTATTAGAATATAAAGCAAGCTGTTCCATATATTAATTTAAATCAAACTGTGGTGCTGCGTTTTGTTTAAGACCATCCGTCGAGACTGCAGCTTGCATTTTTTAGTTATTTATGTCTATGCCAAGCACTTTAAGAGAAATTTTCTGCTGTCATCGTGGTAACATACACCTGGATTTGATCATTGACCTATTTACCTCTTACAGTTTATTTTCACAAAGAGTTACAGATCTGACGTACCCTGCTCTGATTTCCGCGTACGAGCAGGCGTGGCAGATGCCGCATTTTCCAGTTTGCGATCCAAAGCTGGTGTAACTTTGAGCAGACTTGCTGTAATTCGCAGGCGCAGCAGCCCCATGCTGTGGCAGCAAAATGGTCCGCGCTGCCTGCGTGGGCGAGCACAGGCAGCCGCTCGGGTGCCTGCTCAGGTCTGGCTCCTGCCTGCCCGCAAGGGGAGGGGGGTTCCTGGGCCAAGAGGTGCCATCTAGGAGGAGGTGCCATAGATTGGAAATGCTCTCTTGAACTTATCGCTTCCTTCATTCTTTCCCATCCTAGCTCTAACAGCAAGTAAGGGGATAGCAAAGCTTTTTGGAAGTGAGCCTGAGGTACGGAGCTACATGCAACAAGTAGAGTCTATGGATCCTGCAGGCTGAAGATCACAGGAGCCGTGTGGCCGGTGTATTTTACACTGAGCAACAGAAATAAATTTGAAACTCCTGTCTCGTCTCGTCTGGTGTTTTAATTCCTATCTTTATAGCAAGGATGATACTCTCTCAGTACAGAGGAAGAGTGTAATAATAAATCCATGGTTTGAAACACTTAGGCCCACTGAAAAGTGATCCAGAATTACAGTTTCATTAAGAGGATTTTTCATTTAATCTCTGCCCTAAAGACAACATACAGTAAATAAGACTGCATGTTGATAGTTCCTCAGCTGCTCCCATCTGGTCCGTGCACTAAATGAAGCTGGTACAGGCCAGAGAGACACACTAAACTACGAGACCGGCTCGTTCCGAAGCCCTCCTTTCCCTGAGCGGAACTCCCAGGCACCGGGCAGGGACCGCTGCCTGCACTGCTGCCTGCTTTGGGACGGAGCACCGGAGAAACTACTCGGACTTCACCTTGTAATTCTCACAGTCTGTTGTTGGCAGTGGAGACAGGGAACAGTTGTGCAAGTTCATGTCATCTGGCCTCATCTAGACTTCTTATCCCAAGACTCCCGGTAAAGCAGCGTTGGTTCCTTTCCTCAGACGGGATGAGGCACGGGGCGTTGGTTTGCCTGAGATTACTGTGGGAATGAGTAAGAGACCTGACCCGCCGGCCTTCAACCCGGGCGAGTGCTGAAGTCGCTCACCAGTTCTTCCTCCAAACTTGAAAGCTCACAAAATTAATTCCCTCACATCGTAAACACATTTGACACTGTGCCTTCAAAACGAAAACAATTTTGATTCTGTACGGTTTTGCTGTGGAATGCCTGTAACCAAGGCCAGAGACACCGTCCATCCGCGCTCTAAAATTACACCCGAGTCTGCAGTTTTCCTGGAGTTATTTGCATGGAATTATTTAATGAAGCTTTTTACTTTTCCTCGAGATTATAACTCCCTAGCAGATACTGCCTTCTAGTGGGCACGCTCTCACTAATAGGAAGAATGCTACTCAGATTAATTATTTAGTTACCTTTAATGTACAAGTTCAGATGTTAGGACTTTAATGAGCCACATGCTGTTTTGAAATGTGGTTATTACACAAAACACTGAGGCTTTGTTTACAATTAAGAAAATTAATAGGATACACAAATCCCTTCCTGAGCTTTAAGCCTTACTGTGTTTTGAAAAGACCTGATGCTCGCGGAGAGTTTTTTTTTCTGACTCCGATGTAGAGTTAATGAAATTAGGTCATTAGGAAAATAAAGCATGAGAATAGAGATTTTGCATCGTATGAGCACTCCGAGATCAGAATGGTTAAACAGGCACTGTGTCTCTGAAAAATGCACATGTGTTAATAGAATGTGTTCTTTTATGTCATTTTGGTACAGACATAGCAAACGTTTTTATTTATGAAGCTCTTGCAGTTAGATACATACATAAAAATACACAATCCTTACTCATCCTGTTGGAAATAGTGACTGGAGAAGTGACGGAGTAAAGTGTTTCTCAGCTCTCAGGTTTGTAGGTGTTGGTACAAGTCTGGATGGAAGGCCCGTGACCTTTTTGTGCAAGCCTCCGTACAAATATGGAAAATACAGCAAAATAATCTGCATTTTTTCAGGGCAAAAATGGAGAAAACGGGCAAGGAGCGACCTGAAAATTGGAGGCAAAAGAGATGAGACAAATTAGTTAAGGCTTCACAGCAGATCGGTGGCTGAGCCAGGCCTTAGATTTAAATCTTTCTTAAGCGACCTGCAAAAAACTCGAGACAGACTATGTCTCCCAAAACAGGCAGGCAGACACCTGTACTTGCAAAATAAGGAACTGCTCCTTCACATCTGAATTCGCTTAAGAGTTAGATCAGGAAAACACCACGCGCTGCATAGTCTGCTTGTCTTCAGTAAAAGATATCCCAAATTTTGATGCAGCCTAGCGTTCTGTTCTATGTAGGTGTCAAGTGGAGAAATGTTTGTTCAAATGCTATCTCAAGGCACACAGGAATATCATCAGCTCAGGCTAGGTGGATTACTGGCAGAGACCTGTCTGGGATTCTGCCAGCTGACGTTTCCAGTTGCTTGGGCTCAGAGTAATTCACCTGCAGGACACCTCAGTTTTTCCTCCCCAGTCCAATTCCTCCTTCTCTAAAGACGATGAATTTCCCAACAGATAAAAGTTTCTGATTCCGAGACAGCTCTAATAAATATTTCACTTATTTCTGTTGCAGACGCGTTTGGTTTTGAAGACCAGATCCCTGTCTCTTTAAAACATATTAGGGAAGTTTTTGCATTTATAACCTGCACCATCAGACTGGAGGAAATCACTGAA